ACCGCTGTTTCCTTTGAGTTTGGGCGAAATTATCCGCACTGTGGCAGTGCGCGCGCGAGAGAGAGAGGTGGTCGATGAAATGTAGAGTTGTTATGCGGAGTGGCTCCGCCGAGAGTATAAACATTTAGGAACTTATCCCCCAACTGAAGCACAACCGGACCACCCACAACACCGAGTCGACAGACCGGCAGAGGTGTGTACAACCGCTGTTTCCTTTGAGTTTGGGCGAAATTATCCGCACTGTGGCAGTGCGCGCGCGAGAGAGAGAGAGGTGGTCGATGGAAATGTAGAGTTGTTATGCGGAGTAGCTCCGCCGAGAGTATTATCATTTAGGAACTTACCCCTCAACTGAGGCACAACCGGACCACCCACAGCACCGAGTCGACAGACCGGCAGAGGTGCGTACAACCGTTGTTTCCTTTGAGCTTGGGCGAAATTATCCGCACTGTGGCAGTGCGTGCGAGCGAGAGAGAGGTAGTCGATGGAAATGTATGCACTGTGGCAGTGCACGCGATTGAAGAGCAGGCAGTGGCCGGGAGCGCATGAGAAACGTAGCTTCAACGGAGGAGAGTAATAACGTAAATGGGGTCAGAAGGACACCCAGTGCCAACTTGCTTAGAATTCAGGGACTTAAAGGGGTTAATACCTCATTATACGCGCATAAGTACCAAACAGGGTATAATCTCACCTCAGGAGATAACCATGCAAACTTCAGCGCCACTGGGGGGATTAGACGGAAACGGGAGGGTCGGTTTGTCTAGCCGAGTGTTCTTCGTAGATGTATGCATGATCGAATAAATGGTGCGTGCGCGGATGAAAGGGAGTAACGAATGGTTATATTAAGGACCAGTGGGAGCTAGACACTCATGCTCGAATTGCATCTTATTTCTCTGATGGGATGGAGCCCTTGGCATCGAACGGATACGAGATGGGAACATGGGAGGGCCCTGCCCTGGGACTTAAAACCAGCAAATTCCATTCAGCCGGCGACAATCCCATTCCCTCCAGATTGAGCCCATTCCTCCCTGAGCAGTGAAGACTATATGTTGTAAGGAAATTGCAAGCCTCTCAAATAAATGTGTACTGCACGACGACGGAGCCAGTGCCGAGTGGGAAATCAGACAAGCGTTAAAGAGGAGACGATACACCTGCCCACCCAATGTCGTCTTCCAAGGCGGACGATTACACTCCGTAACAGCCACCCGTCACTCACACGGCACCTGTGCACCGCCAAGCCGTCCAGCAGCACCGTTACAGGTGCACGGTGCCCCGGTGCCCTCCCCTTTCCGCCGCCTATGTTGTATCCCAATTAACCCTTGTACGTATAGGGGCGGCGGGTGGTTTTTCGTTAAAGCTCACGTAAAAGGCATTGGATCACGAACAAATTGTACCCTCGAGCCCATCATTTTTTTTTTTTACCAGCCCGGAAAATGTCATGACCTGAGACCAGTTATACCAACAGAAAAATAACCGCCTGCCGGAATTTTTGCCTCAAGACCGCTTCACATACGGAGCGTAAACGCGATGGGCTCGTAAGCGGATAGGGCTTGACCGTTTACGCTCCATATGTGAAACGATCTTTAGGCAAAAAATTCCGGCAGGCGGCTATTTTTCTGTTGGTAAAACAGCTGGCCTCTGGACCCATAATGACCGTTGGCTTATGATCTTTTTCTGGAGATCATCTTGAGCCATAAAATCTCACTTCAAGAAGTTATAGCGGGTCCCGATTTTCTCGACACTTGTCATTGCCCTCTTGAATGAGACGTAATGACCAAGGACCTTAGAAATGGGCAGCAGCGGCTTCCTACAGGGTGTTGCAGATAAATTGGGACTAAGTTCATGACCTTACAAAAAATTTGGTATGCGGAGGAACATCATGGAAATTTGACACAATATAATTTCAACAATTGTTTTTCATTTGATATTGAAATTTTAATCCTAACATATCGCGCAGTCATGGAGCAGCGTCGGAGGGAAACGATTGGTGAGTTAGTTCGCGCCGGACAGAGCGCGAAGGACATAATAAGTTTAACTGGGTACCCAAAGTCTACCGTGTACCGAACTATCGCGACTGTAGGAGCTGGAGGGGATGTCGCTCGACGTTCTCACACACCTCGCAGTGACCGAAAACGGACACCGACATTCTTGAGCGGCTTGAAACGCTCGATACAGGCCAAACCGAGGACCTCGATGAACAAGCTTGCGCGTGCCCGTCACGTGAGCAAGAGCACCATCAGCAGAGCCGTGAGAGAGGACCTCGGGATGAAGTCGTTTACCAGAAAACGACGAAGCCTCCTGACCGAACCAGCAAGAGCGATACGAAGGGAGAGGGCACCGAAGGTCCTCAATCTCCTCAAGCACCTCGGGAGTGACGTCAGAGTATTTGTCGATGAGAAAAAGTTCATCGTAGAAGAGGTCGCCAACCGCAGGAACTCGCGGGCTATCGCCTACAGCCCTGATGAAGTGGCTCCCATGATGGAAGGCAAAAATCCGGCATCAGCAATGGTGTTCGGGGCCGTCGCAACTGATTGCCGCATAATGCCGCCCCATTTCATGCCTGCTGGTGTGACGATCGACACTGACGCGTATTTGACCATCCTGAAGGAGTCTCTCATCCCCTGGATGATGAAATACTATGGCTTGAGCAAAGTCATGCTGGTGCAAGACTCCGCCCCAGCACATGCTTCCCAGAGGGTGCAAGATTTCCTGAGCCAGAGGATCCCCCTATATGTACCCAAGGACATATGGCCCTCCAACTCGCTTGACTTGAATCCATGTGACTTTTGGATGTGGGGCGTGGTAGAACAAAAGTCCAACTCGACCACTCCTGCCAACGTTTCTGACCTGAAGAAGGCCATCAGGAAGGCAGTCAGCACCATTGACCAGGACGAGGCCCGGCGCGCGTGCTCCGCTTTCCGGCGCCGTCTCGAGAGGGTGCGGGACGCCGACGGCGGTCACATCGAGTGACAAGGCTGTGCGTACATGACACAATACACGTGCGAAGTTTCAACTTTCTGTGTTTTCATTCACCGTATTAATAGCATGCTGAACTTAGGTCTGAAAATTCCCAATTTACCTGCAACACCCTGTATTGTCACGGGTAGCACGCTCGTCTTTTTATGCACAGCCCCATCTCAGAGTCCGAGAGGCCGCGGGGGTCCGATCGACTCCTCCCCCTTACGTTAGTGCAGCTGTTGAAACGCCAACAGACGGGCGACGGTTAAAAGTTGCAGCTGCTTTTGTACGACTGTACGGAGGGGTGAGATGGTGAGGCGAGCAGGTACGTGAAAATTGGTATCTAATCAATGTGTGCTGTGCCTTTGACCTAGGCTAATCTTTGAACCCTGGGATGCAACAGCCACGATGGCTCCATCACTGGAGCTACAAACTCTAAAAAGATAGGCTTTCTCAGAATCCCTCATTACCCCCACTGAAAGGGCTCCATTACCCCCAAAGGGGGCATGCCCCACCATTTGCCGACCCCTGCTCTAGGTAGAGTTAAATGCATCACTTATTTTCATTTAGGTTGATATAAGATTTCAGTGGCATCGGGAGATTTAGTTTTTAAAATTAATCAAAGTAACAACTAACAAGAGAGACCATCTCTTTCCGTTTTCCTAGAAACTCTCACTCTCATTCTCTCTCTCTCTCTCTCTCTCTCTCTCTCTCTCTCTCTCTCTCTCTCTCTCTCTCTCTCTCTCTCTCTCTCTCTCTCTCTCTCTCTCTCTCTCTCTCTCTCTCTCTCTCTCTTTCTCTCTCTCTCTCTCTCTCTCTCTCTCTCTCTCTCTCTCTCTCTCTCTCTCTCTCTCTCTCTCTCTCTCTTTCTCCCTCCCATATCCCCCTCCATTCTTGGACCACGTGGCCCACCACCCGTCCCCCCACCTCCCCCAGATGGTATGGCGAGCATTTCTACTGCCCATAGCCCGGGGTCACCGTCCAACCGCCTGAAACACGCCCGGGGCATTTCTTAGAAGCGCTGGACGGCCGGGCGGACGGTCCAAGGGGGGGGGGGGGAGTGAAGGCGTCGGGGAGGGGAGAGGTAGATGCAGCTAAGTATTATAATTGTAATAGATAAGTTATTTTTATAGCATAACTTATTCATAATCGCATGTGATTACGAATTGAAACGAACGATTGACCTTTTTAATCAATAATGAATGAACGTAATTTAATTCCAAGTTTAAATGGGCGCAAAATGACCTTAGTAGTCGGTGCGCACTAAAGCCTCAGTTAATATCAACAATTCCAAGTTTATAAGGATAAAAGGCTATTACCTACACATAAACACTCGTTAGTCCATGACGCCCCTATCTCCGTAGAAGGTAACGAGTGACCAGGCGCGTCCTTGTTTCCAAATTTGTCCAACAGCTCTCCCGATGCCTTCCGTGCCCAATTACGTTAAAACAAGAAACAGCAACCATGAGACTAAAACTGATAGCCTTACATGAGAGCATGGGCATTGGGCGTACCGCGTCCGACGTAGAAACGATTTGGAGAAAGATGAATGAGCAGCAGAGCTGGGCGCGTTCCTCGATTTTCGGTAGTGCGTTAGCGTTCCTGCGTTCCTCCGGCCGCGGTTAGTGCGTTCCTGGAATAGCGTTCCTCAATTTTTTTTCGTTCGGTGCGTTAGCGTTCCTGCGTTCCTGCGTTCCTCCCTCAAAAATACCGCCGAACCACGCGGCGCAGGCCCAACCAAACACGGGGCGAATCGATCACAGAATACCCAGAATGGCGACGTGGGGCCGAAAAGCAGCTCGACATCTCTTTTCCGAATCGAATATCTGAAATACGTTTTACCAATATCATCCGTAGGGTTTTCAACAAAAATACGACCTGCTTAAAAACAATAGTTTAGTTAAAAGATGTATCTTAGTAAAAGTTATCATATTTACTCTACACATTTAATGCCTGAAACTGAATCGAATAGTAAACATCACCACTAAAAATCTTTAATGCCTGAAACCGAATCGAATAGTAAACATCACCACTAAATCTAAGCAAGCCTTCCTCGATTCGACTGACAAGTGGCGCCTCTACCGGCAAACACACGTACTCGAGATTCAAACACTTGACACAGAGGTCATTGGCAGCAATATAATTTTTCGGGTGGTTCCGCAAGAACGCAGGAACGCTTCAAAACTTCGGGTGGTGCGTTCCTCTTACTTGCGTTCCTTTGAAAAACTTTGCGTTCCTGCGTTCTTGCGTTCCTAAAAAGGGCGGTGCGTACGTACGGAAGAACGCAGGAACGCACTAAAGGAACGCACTTGCCCAGCTCTGATGAGCAGTGAGCATTCCCATAAAAGGATCACATTCGCTTATACGAATACGGCAATCGACATTGCAAATTCAAGAGGTACAGTGCACGTTGCCTCCCCTCCCCCTCCCCCTCCCCGTTCCTCTACTAGGCTCGACAGCCCGATGTCCTGATAGACGGTGGCGTGCCTTGGGAGCAAAGGTGTTAAAGGGGAGGGGAGACCCGGGGGGGGGGGGGGCTGGGTGGAGTGCCGGTCGTCAGCTGATTGGGCGTTCCAGGAAGTGCCGGTAGACACGAGCACACGCCCTCGTGCTACTGATGTGCGTGAGATGATGTTGAGAAGCAGCACCGTCAGTAGGACGAAAATTAGAATATGACGAGGGCGGTCGATTTGTTCATCCAGGCGTGTCGAAACTCAACGGAATTGACACGGGACGGAATTTCAAATATGTGCGGATTTCAATGAACAAGTGCACCTGAATAAAAGTGTCTAGTGTCTACAAGAAAGGGCATAGTCCTACTGACAGAAACGTTCTCTGGTGAAAACTGAAAAGAAGCACTGGATACCATGAAGGCTCAGTGGGATACCTATCACATGAAACATTTACATGCTATAAATATTAGACGACCCACGTGGTTCACGGCCATTGCGCCACACACACCCCTCCCACTGCCCCCCCCCCCGACCACGTGCGCGGCACGTTTCCCCTCCCGTTTCCCGTGGATAATCCCCTTGTCGCTGGGGCTCGGGAACAATCGGGGGAGCTCCCCGTGGGACAGTGGGCACTGGGCACCTAGTGGTGGTGGGGGGAGGAGGGAGGGGGCCAGCTGGTGGGGCGCGTCTGCCAATCAGGGGCCTCCGGAGTATTTAAAATTTAAACGGCACGTCATGTGGGGACTACTGGAAAGCACCAAAGACGGGAAAAGGGCAGGATGGAGCATCTGGGAAGCGGAAATTTATGTGGCTGCGTTTAGCGCAATGCATGCGTTTGCAAGCACTTCACTTTTGACTTTCAGGTTGGAAAATTCTTTCAGGGTTGTTTATTATCCCCTGCGTATAAACGGCCACGGGATAGGAAGATTCATGTGTAGTCCAAAGAAAGTCCTGTTGGGATCATTTCTAATCGTGTCATTCTTACGTAATTCGCATTTATCTCAATTATCATCCTTTCATATTTCCACTTCTTATGCTACTCCACTTTACCGAACATTCCAGATCTGTAAGTCGGAGGTTTAGCGCAGGCGCAGACCCGACCCGCCACGCAACGCCGGGCGCCGGCTGACTCGTGACGCACTCGGCCCGCGGCTCCACCAATCAGAAGCGGACGCAGGAATCGTCGGCTGTGTCGGCAGACGTCATTGGCTGGCAGGGGACAGCGCACCGGACGGGGCCGGCGAATGGCTTCTTTGCTACAAATTCGCCCGGGGTTCTTTGCCGGCGAGATCCCAGAGGAGGAGGTTGTGCGCGCGGTACAGATCTGTTACACCAGACTGCGTACCGAAATAATTCAGGTAAGGAACAGCTGAAATGTGCAAGCGGCCCTTGCTCGTGTGTTCGATAAATTTGCGTTCCCGGTATGATTATGTCGTTGCCTTTTGATTCTGATGCTTTGCTGTCCAGAAACCGCGCGAACTGAGCTGTACGGACGGACCGAATGTATGCTTTCTTTTGGCATTTTCTCGCACTTATCTGGAGTATACGACATGCGTAAGCGCTCATATTCCTTTTTTCTAGCATAATCATGACCAGAGGCGGATCCAGCTTAGTTTTTTTTTGGGGGGGGGGGGGCAAATCATAACAATTTATCGATTCTTTCCATGCACCGTCCATAGGTGTGATGTTAAAATTATGCCGTTTGGGGGCGGGGGCAAATGTCCATTTTGACCCCCCCCCCCCCGGATCCGCCACTGTAATCATCTGAATTTTTGCTCCGGAGTTCCTCGTTTTTTTTTTTTTTACACTTTTTCACCGTGTGTAGTAGGTACTTATTAGTCGATTTCACAGCGGCCATCTGGTACACATTTGGTGCAGATTAGGTGCAGGTTGTGTCAAATTACGTTCATTGTGTTTCTTGCTAGTTTGGGTTGCGCAGGTGTTGATGGACCCCATTTTTCATATTGGAGATTATTTTCGATAAATTTAGAGTAAATCCATGATTTTAAGATACTTGTAATGAGATTAGGTGCAAGCTTGGTCAAATAAGTACCTACATTCGCCAAATAGTCCGTCGTGAAAACTGTTATTGTGAGTAATCACTGTAGCAGGTCAAAGACTTCAATTTTCAGTCCTGACTTGAGTGGCTCAAATATAATACGTGAACGTCTATTTCCTCGAGTAACGCGTAATTTATTGCACTTAGGCACTTGTTTCGTTTCTGTGCGCGTTACTAACCTCTCATCTCCGTTTGCAGAATGGCAAAGGCCCCGGCGATCGGAATTGATCTGGGCACCACGTACTCGTGCGTGGGCGTCTTCCAGCATGGCAAGGTGGAAATCATTGCCAATGACCAGGGCAACCGGACGACGCCCTCGTACGTCGCCTTCACCGACACGGAGCGTCTGATCGGAGACGCCGCCAAGAACCAGGTGGCCATGAACCCGGGCAACACCGTGTTCGACGCCAAGCGGCTCATCGGCCGTCGTTTCGAGGACGCCCCGGTGCAGGCCGACATGAAGCACTGGCCGTTCGAGGTCGTCAGCGATGGCGGCAAGCCCAAGATCCGCGTCGAGTACAAGTGCGAGAAGAAGACGTTCGCGCCCGAGGAGATCAGCTCGATGGTGCTGACCAAGATGAAGGAGACGGCCGAGGCCTACCTGGGCAAGACCGTCACCGATGCCGTCATCACCGTGCCGGCCTACTTCAACGACTCGCAGCGGCAGGCGACCAAGGACGCCGGCGCGATCGCCGGTCTGAACGTGCTGCGCATCATCAACGAGCCCACCGCGGCGGCCATCGCCTACGGCCTCGACAAGAAGGTCGGCGGCGAGCGCAACGTGCTCATCTTCGACCTGGGCGGCGGCACCTTCGATGTGTCGATCCTCACCATTGAGGACGGCATCTTCGAGGTGAAGTCGACCGCCGGAGACACTCATCTCGGCGGAGAGGACTTCGACAACCGCATGGTCAACTTCTTCGTCCAGGAGTTCAAGCGCAAGCACAAGAAGGATCTGTCGACCAACAAGCGCGCGCTGCGACGTCTGCGCACCGCCTGCGAGCGTGCCAAGCGTACCCTCTCCTCCTCTTCCCAGGCCTCCATCGAGATCGACAGCCTCATGGAGGGCATCGACTTCTACACGTCCATCACCCGCGCCCGGTTCGAGGAGATGAACGCCGACCTGTTCCGCGGCACCCTCGAGCCCGTCGAGAAGTCTCTGCGGGATGCCAAGATGGACAAGGGCGCCGTCCACGACATCGTCCTGGTCGGAGGCTCCACCCGTATCCCCAAGATCCAGAAACTCCTGCAGGACTTCTTCAACGGCAAGGAGCTCAACAAGTCCATCAACCCTGACGAGGCTGTGGCGTATGGCGCTGCCGTTCAGGCTGCCATCCTGCACGGCGACAAGTCTGAGGAGGTGCAGGACCTGCTGCTCCTGGACGTGACGCCCCTCTCGCTCGGTATCGAGACGGCCGGAGGTGTGATGACCGCTCTCATCAAGAGGAACACCACCATCCCCACCAAGCAGACGCAGACCTTCACCACGTACTCTGACAACCAGCCCGGTGTGCTCATCCAGGTCTACGAGGGCGAGCGTGCCATGACCAAGGATAACAACCTGCTGGGCAAGTTCGAGCTGACCGGTATCCCGCCGGCGCCGCGCGGCGTGCCTCAGATCGAGGTCACCTTCGACATCGACGCCAACGGCATCATGAACGTCAGCGCGGCCGACAAGTCGACCGGCAAGGAGAACAAGATCACCATCACCAACGACAAGGGTCGCCTCACCAAGGAGGAGATCGAGCGCATGGTCAACGAGGCCGACAAGTTCAAGCAGGAGGACGAGGCCCAGCGTGAGAAGATCTCCGCCAAGAACGCCCTGGAGTCGTACGCCTTCAACATGAAGTCCACCGTCGAGGATGAGAAGATCAAGGACAAGATCTCAGAGTCCGACAAGACGACCATCTTGGACAAGTGCAACGACACTATCAAGTGGCTGGACGCCAACCAGCTCGCTGAGAAGGACGAGTTCGAGCACAAGCAGAAGGAGCTGGAACAGATCTGCAACCCTATAATCACCAAGCTGTACCAGGGAGCCGGCGGCGCGCCGCCCGGCGGTATGCCCGGAGGTATGCCCGGAGGCGCTCCCGGAGCCGGGGGTGCCGCGCCCGGAGGCGGCGCCGGCGGCCCCACCATTGAGGAGGTCGACTAAACGCTGTCCCTCGCCCCAGACGGGTCCAATGGTCAACCAAAAAGGTGACGACCTGAGGGTCGCTCACCCTGTTTTATTTTCTTGTCTCAGTACCCTGCACATGTTTTGATGCGTGAATAAAAAGTTCCTGGTTATGTCCCGATTTCGTATGTTTGCTGGGATTTCTGGGAGGTGGGTTCAAGAACACTGGGAGAGCGGGCGAGGTCAGGGTCACAGCGGGGGCGTAATTGAAGGAAGTGGGACCGACACTGGGGTGGGGCGGAAATACATTTAGATCGAAGCATATTGTATTTACATTTAAGAGCGATCCACATACAAAGGGCGTGGCGATTACTGCAGCATGGGGAGACGCAGATATGTGTATGAACTCCGGCGAATTAGCCTCGACTTGAAAAACGGCGGGTGGGGGCACTGGGTCGGGGCTTCAAACGGTCGTGGGCCTCACGACGGTCATAGTGACGGTTTAATAATTTGTTTACGAATCAAGCCGTTCCAACATGCATCTTGCATAACAGTTCGCTGCCCTCCAGCTGCCTTGTTCTAAAGATCGCCGCCTTTGAGTTAACATCCGTCCGTCTAAAGTTCAGCGAACGGCTCGGCTCAGTCCAGCCGACACAGCATGAGTCAGTCCACCCGGGAACAGGGTGGTTACGAAACAGGGCCGACCGGCGCGCTGGCGGCGGCGGCGGCGGCGCCTTCTTGGGCGAGAGATGACGTCAGCGCTGACGCCCCTCCCCTCTCCCTCCCCTCCCTCTTGGGCCGGACGAGGCGCGGCGCGAGTTTTCCCCGCGCGCGCGAAGCGCAGCATATGGCGGGTCGGCCTTGGGTTGGTGGCGCGCTGGGCGGAAGATGTCGATTCAGCCTGACGGCGTGCTGTGAGGAGTGGTCTGTTCCCCAGGGCTGTCCGTGATCAGGATGACGTATCAGCTGTGAGCTGGCTGACGGCAGCGGCGGCTCCAGGCGCGGGGCGAGGTAGGGAAATGCTAGGTTTTATACGCGTGTAGACGGAGCGAGACACGGATGAAAAAGCAGCATTTCTATTTTGGTCTAACCTGAGAGGGTCAAGGTATGACCCGAGGCAGGCATCGTTCGACTAAGATCCTAAAGAATCAATAGGTCCTTGTTTTGAGATCCGCCCACGAGTGAAGCGTCGGTAAAAGTTGTGGCGGGTGGCAGCTAACTTTTTCTCAGCATCTCCATTTGTGTACTGGAACGGCAAAATTGAGCGAACGGCCGGAACGGCGGGCAATGGGTATATGTTACGTAAAAGGTCATTTCTCGTCAGTCGCCCCCCCCCCCCCCACCCTGACCCGCCCTCTTCCTATCATCTAGTGACGCCCCACAGCTGGTAGGTAACCGACGGACCGACGGGCCGACGGGCCGACGCCGGCTCTGCGGCAGTCTCCGGGGGCAGTCGCGCGCAGCCCAGCTGCCGACTATCGATTTATCGAGCTGACGCCGCCCCTGCCGCACTGCCGGCGCGGCTAGTCAAAGGCAATGGAGTCGGCCGGCAGGGGCGGAGGTAGGAGTATCGACTGGGGAGGGTATAGGATTTGGTGGTAGCCGGCGAACGTCTCGGTAATTCTTATAATATTGCACGCTATTTAAGCGACTACTGACTCGTTACAAACAAACCGAAGGCGAGGCTTACACAATACGCATTTTGGCACGATTCCCAGCACTGAAGGGCGGGAGGAATAACTAGAACATGCCCTCTGACCCCCGATTCCCATTTTTGACTTCAAACTCATGTCCGTTTTATTCCAGTTTCATCAATCAAGTTAGTCTTCCTCTCTGAAATAACATTTTTTCCTATGAATTTAAATCTTCTTGAACTTTCAAGGGACATTTCATGTTGGAAATACGTCTGTTGCCTTCTGTCCCGTCTCTGCCCTCAGCACAGACCGCAGCGCCCAGCAGCCGTCACCACGCGGTCCGACCACGCCGCCCATCCCGTCACCACCGCCGGCGGCCGTCATCGCAGTGGAAGGTTCCCGAGCCGGCCCGGACCACGTGGGCGCCGTCCCGAGCCGACCGTCCGCCGACCGGCGCTCCCCCACCCGGCGGCGGTGGGGAGGGGCGGACAGACGGGAGGGGGGGGGGACGCAGCCAGTCCACGAACCCAGGGGATCACAACTCACTGACGCCAGCCGCAGCCCGGGGATCCAGGGGCTCACAACTCATGGGTCGACTGGCAGATGGTAGACGGTAGAAGGCCATCTGACGGTTGGAGTTTGAAGACCCCCATATGGCGCCGGTTCTTTCCGTTGTTCCGCCATGGAACGATGAACAGCGGGGTGGGGGGGGGGGGGGGGTACATTGGTTAAACATGCTCGTCCATTGCCCAATCCCTCGCCTGCGCAAGCGTGTCTTGTAATCGTCCGTTGACTCCCGAAGCTTCCTCTAGCTTGACCCGTGACCTCTGGTGACCTGTGACTCCAACAGCTGGCCTCTGGCGACCTCACCACCGCCGTGAAATCAAACAGAAACGTACCAAAGGGAGGCAATTTATTTTCATAAATCATAATTGAAACTCACGAGAAACTCGCTATAAAGTAGCGAACTCAATGAACTCAACACTCGCATTATCATGCAATCCTCCTATCAAACATTCAACAGAGTATTTCCCCTGCTTTCCCCGCTCGAGCGGAACACCTTATCAGGGCTATACCCACTACACATGGAGCGTTGATAAGGGAACATTGCACAAACCGCGCTGACGAAGCTTCCCGGATATGAGACACGTTAGGGGGAAAACGGGTCATGTGCCACTGGGGATGATAAGCGACGAACGACATAGGCGGGGCATGGGCGAAATGAGCAGATAAGAGATGCAGTTAGTAATTTTGGGAGACAGCGAAAACCATTTGGAACAAGTAGCAAACACGAGTGTCAACATAAAAATCATAGCCATACCGCCAAAGCGATTCATGAGCATTGGAAGATCAACATCAATTGAAAAACAAACCATTGAAACATGTACAGGCTTTCGCAGCTTTTGTCACAAAACATCGAACATTATTAACACTGCAAATACAATAAACACTACGTCATTACATTACCTTTGGCACTGGGTTCAATCGATCACAAAACCAACCAAACGTATTTTAGAGTTAGGCACACATACACACAAAATAATTACACAAATTCTTGGTCACTTCTGACTAGACGATAAACGACTCCATCTCAGTTTTACTGCTGCTCATAAACCTTATCAGAAACCACACGTGGCAATGCTTCAAGATACCGTTCACACTTTCGCACACAGATTGGACCCACCCGCTCAGCTCGTGACATTTCAATCATGCCGACTCAGTCGCTAGTGCTACAGTCTGACGAAAACCCCATAGAGGCTTACCGAGCAATGCCTCATATGACGTCACCACTAATCCACCGGCCGTTATGAGGCGTCTTATGAAGCCACTGATGACGTCATTGTGGAACTTGTGACGTCAGCTGTCTGAGCAGTAGCGTGATTCAGCACCTTTTAATGAACAGGTCATCGCATTTTAAATAATTAATTTGGTTGCTACCTCCCACCAAGGACCACTGGCCCATTCAAGTCAATGATACAAAATCAATTAAAACGCTGATAATGTACAAACACGCTCAAAAGGTACGGCTGATGAACCCAGGGAATGTCACCGGATACAAAACGTCACTAACACCATGACTAAGGTAAGCTCAACGGCTGAGACAGTCATGCAGTTTGGTAGCCTGAGTCAAAACATTTGGCACTAGAGATTCCCCACGTCATAACTAAGCGACTGGAAAGTCACCCGAGTCCCGAGTCAGTTTCGTCATCTGTGACCCATCGGCTGGATCATGGATCTCGGTAGATCGCTGTGACCCGTTGACCTTTGTAGATGATCACTCATTGTAACTCGCTGACCTCTGTAGCTGACCTCTTGACTGACTCCTCCGCCCCGTCGGCTGACCTCTTGATTGACCCCTTGACCTCCATAGTTCCCTCCTCTGCTCCTATCGACCTGACCTCTACAGTTGACCTCTCCCCTGACCCATCTGACCCATTGACCTCTGTAGTTGACCTCTGTGACCCGGTGAGTGACCGTCGGGCCAGCAGGCGGGCCACCTCCAGGTCTGAGGGCGTGTCGATGTCTATAGCTGTCTCAGGGGGTACTTCCACATACCCCCGCCTGTGGACAGAAGGGAGGGGGGGGGGTGAGTATCCACATCTGTCTCATGGGGCACTTACAATCAGGGTCTGTGGACTGAAGGGGGGAGGGTAACATGCTGACACGAATACAATGTAGAAGACAGGAATAAGGAACACGAAACATTGCTAGGTAAATGAGCGTTCGAAAAAAGGGTAAGTGGATAGAACACTCAAAAGAGGAATCGCCGATTCTATGAAATGGTTAAATCACTTAAACCCCATGGCCAATTGTATTCTTTCAGCAAATTTTGCTGCGCTTTCGATGGTGACCAGTGCTGCCTGCACTATGGACATTGCAAACCCCAAAAATGTCTATCCCAATGCTAAACTCACGATAAATAAGTAAGTGCCCCAAAACGCTAAGGGCTATAAGCTGCATTCAGCATGATAAAAAGCTCAAAGCTCCAGACTGCCAATCTGCAGTCTGCATGCGAAAAGCCGCAGCACTGCCTGCACCATTCCCAACATAAAATACAGCCCCATTTATAGTCAGGCTGACTGCCGTTCCACAGCTATGAGCTGGGTAGTTACAGCGGCCAGCTTTGAGCCCGCAGCGTTCTATGCTGGGTGCGGCAGTCGGCCGCGACGACGGTCGTCCGACCGACCCTGGCACAGGCCTTATATCGACAAAGCAAGAACGTGACCGGGTTTCCATGGGTCCGTCGGCCTGGTACCGGAGGGTGGGGGAAGGGGAGGGGGGGGGGGGGGGCAGGGACATACATGGAGAGAAGGGAACAGTTGGTGCGCTGATGATGGGAGGGGGGGGGGGGGGAGCTAAATAGGCAAAGGTCACGAAGGGAGTCGCACATCGGGATGCAAGTCGAGAGACGATAGAAACTGCATGTTTTTAGCTAATTTATCTCATGACATTGTTGCAAGAGATGTTGGCCGTGTTCAATGCTGTAAGGAAAACACGTCACACAACAGCAAAAAACGTTTTTTATCCGGTTATATTGCCGCATGAAATACATGACACCGAGGTACAAGGATATAGAAATACTTGGTAAGACCCAAGTACAGGGTGGACGAAAAAGGATGGAAACATTTTAAACTCGCAGAAAACATGCAATATTGCATGCAGGTGACTGAAAATGATACCAAACGCGAGTATATTTTGTGGAAATTCATAATGACATCATGCTCAGCTGCTTTCTCTCGTTTTCAGTCTCTCACAGCAAATGTTCAAGGAGACCATCTTCGCGAGACAGGCACAGATCGGACCGCCTGGCGGCTGACGCGATAGCCCGATAACACATGTCCGCTGTTATGACTCGCACAGCCTTGGTGATCGCTCTCTTCAGGCCACAGAGGCCTGCTGTACCTTCTTTGTAGACCTGGCCCTTGAGATGACTCCACAGGAAAAAATCCATAAGGGTCAAGTCAAGTGAGCAGACGGGCCAGTTCCGACTGGCACCGCGGGATATCAGCCGGTCACCAGTGTGGTTCTGTTGTTGTTGTTGTTGTTATTTCCCCGCGGGCCGGCCTACGGCCGGCCGTAGCCCGCAGGCTCTCGGTGGCGGAGGAAGCCGCGGGCCAGCGCCGCCACGGCCCCGCCGTCCCGCAGCCGAGTCGCATCGGGGTGTATATTCCCGAGCAGGCGTAGTCGCATGCCAGTGTGGTTCTCGATCCACTTGAGCATTGTTTTGCTATGTGAGGAGACGCACCGCCTTGCTGGAACCACATGAGGTCCAAGATACTGCCATACGTCGCTTAATCTCACTTCAAGAACTTCTTTAGCGTCGCTTGGTAGGTCAGTCACGTCGCTCCCACCCTCGAACCGAAGTGGAACTGGCCTGTCTGCTCAACCGACCTGACCCTATGGATTTTTTCCTGTAGGGTCATCTCAAGGGTCACCGGTCAGGTCTATAAAGAAGGTTCTGTAAGCTTTAGTGACATGAAGAGAGCGATCACCAAGGCTGTGCGAGTCATACCAGAGGACTTGTGTCGCCGGGCTATCGCGTCAGCCGCCAGGCGGGCCGATCTGTGCCTGTCTCGCAAAGGTGGTCTCCTTGAACATTTGCTGTGAGAGACTGAAAACGAGAGAAAGCAGCTGAACATGATGTCATTATGAATTTACACAAAATGTACTCTCGTTTGGTATCATTTTCAGTCACCTGCATGCCAAATTGCATGTTTTATACGAGTTTAAAATGTTTCCATCCTTTTTGGTCCACCCTGTATTCAGCTGGTACGACCTACCAATTCTATACAACAATTAGCGGCCAGCCCACACATATCCGGCACAGACAAAGACCCACCACCGCCCAGCCCGGTATCAGGGCAACACCGCACCGGAACGCAAAGGCACGTCATACTGGGTAACACACCCAATCAGCGCGTCTGCCCTCCACTGCCACACCAACGCTATGACACACGCTAGCATGTCATTCTCCAACCCCCAGCATGCTTGTCTGTTTTCCTACCTAAACTGGTTTACCAAACCAACAGTACCAGCCAAATTTTGCGTCTGATACCCCTGAACCCGATTACGACACGCGGAAAAAGCTTTGTAAATACAATGCAAAAGCTCCCGCCGGGAGGATCTCTCGTGGAGCAAAGCCCGAATGAACTTGCCAGTTGCTACAGGACCAACCAAACATAGCCAAACCAGATACGTCACACGGCACTTGAGCTTTGACATACAACATATCATTCTATCCATTCCCAATCCCCATCATGTCTTTTCATAGTCTTGTAAGCTGCAATTGTCCTATCAGACCCACAGGGCCTAATCCAACAGAGCCAAAAGCCACCGCACACCACGCCACACAGTCCAAAGTCGACACAGACCGGGGGTGGGTCTGTGTCAGATTACGCCATCGGACACACATGTGCAACAGGACCTCGGTGTTTAGTTTCCGAATATGACCGGAGTTGTCCGGCGATGGTTTGGGAAAGAGGACATATCGTCTGGCAGCGATCGTGACGGGATCATATAGAGGCTGTATCAGTTGTGAGACTTTAGTTATTTAGACGAGGGGTGGATTATCGATATCATTTTCAAATAATCGAAGGATTTGCTCAGTTACATGCCGTGGGCAGGCACAAGCATCCGTACTAAAACGGCTTAAAAATAAATAAATAACGAGATGAAAACCTATCCAGGAATCTCCTGTATACTTAATGAAAACAGATTAAATAATAACGCGAAGTATGAGTTACATGTCCTCGATCGAATAACAAAAGCTCCAAGACAAATCCGCATAAAATCACAGAGCCCCAGACATGCGGCTACAGCAGCGCCCTCTGCACGGCACTGACCTGCCAGCCTGTAGTTGTCGCTCGCTCCGCACGAGGGCAGCACGGGTCACGTAGAAGTTGCCGCTCTCCTGTAGGTGTGAGGGCAGGTCCTGGCGGCGGGGCCGATTGAGGGGGTCGAAATTCACCGGCTCCAGGCCGCCTGAGGGAGAAAACGGTGAGATGTCATTAGGAAAGGGAACGTTATACTATTATTGGGCACAACACAGAGCTACACAACAGCTTCAAGCGCAAAGGGGTACTTATCTGGATTTAGGGGAACGTCGACTACGGTTTTACTGGTAACTATTCGATAGCCCCTCACACACTGAGCAAATGTTTAGTAGCTAGAACTAGATGGCTATTTTTTACAATGCCAACGATCCTATTATAACGCAAAATCACGATTTAGACGTTCGAAATCGCGCTCGAATCGATGTTTCGAACGGACTTCGATCGTCACAGCGTAACGACTAACCGATGAGACGTCACACAAAGCGTAAAGGCAGTGTCTAACGGCGGAATCCCACCCCACCCCTCTCTCCCTCTCTCTCTCTCTCTCTCTCTCTCTCTCTCTCTCTCTCACTCTCCTCTCTCTCTCTCTCTCTCTTTCTCCCCCTCCACCCTCCCTCTCCCTCCCTCTCTCTCTCTCTCTCTCTCTCTCTCTCTCTCTCTCTCTCTCTCTCTCTCTCTCTCTCTCTCTCTCTCTCTCTCTCTCTCTCTCTCTCTCTCTCTCTCTCTCTCTCCCCTCACCATCCTCCGTCTCTCTCCAGATCAGGCCGGGTCGGTGTCGAACCAGTGAGAACACGGAGTCGTAGCTTCCGTCGAGCATCTCCAGAGCCCGGTTGACGTCCTCAGGTCGGGTCAGAGGACTGGTGCATTGGAGAAGCGCCACGGTGCCCACCTCTGTGGGAGGAGGTGGAATGAGTTGACGGACTGGTGAAGAGCTGTAGACATAAGATAGAAGGGTTGTGAAACCCAATGGCATGCAATGTTCAGCCAGCAAAAAACACCAGAAATCAAACCAAGGATAGGGAAAGCCTAACTCACTTTTTTATATAAAAAGCATGCCAGTCTTACAAATCGATTTCTTGTCCTCACCAATCTTAACTGAACCATGTCTTACCCTTGGCCCTACCAAGCTTGAAATAGGTAGTCAGCAAGATATATCCTTTTTACCTAAATTGAGGATGAAGCAGCCCTTGCCATTCAACCCCCCAGCCACTGTTACTGCCTCCTTCCCCAGCAGCCACTGACCAGGCCTATCTCCCAGGAACTCCAGTACAGCAGACAGTGACGAGGCAGTGTCGGTGGAGGTGGCGGCGCTGCGGTGGTGGACGCGGGCACCGGCTGCCTCTGACTCCGCTGCGATCGCGGAGTCATCAGTGGATACCCATACAGAGTCGGCTTCTGTGTGGAGAGATTAGATGGAGATCGGAGATTTTAATGAGAGTTTGGCTGACAGTGATTGATTCGATGGTCGAGTGAGAGGGAGAGGAGTGTGGACTATTATTATCAATTATGCTATCAGTACAAGCACCAAGTTTTTTGTGTGCACTAGTGCAGACCTGTTAGAACTACATGTTCTGTCGAATGGTGATATTTATCTATAAGAAACATTCAACCTTATTCACAGCAGAAAAACAGCATTTTGCAACTACCTGATGCCCAGATAGTTTGAACTTTGAACTACCTACCAGATAACCAGTGGTTTCAGATCTAAGAGGTATACATCAACAAAAGAAGCAACCATCATTATGGCACAATCCTTATGGTAAATAATGTAACAAAAATATACAAAATAAAAAAATACATACTGGAATGCTTTACCTACTTGTCACCATTCGAGCAGTAGAGATACAGTGAGCAATTAGAGATTTGCTCACAAAATGCACCATGTTCTTCCTTGGAATACCTTTGCTTCCACCTCTAGCAAGGATCAGTATGCAAACTTCTGCCATTTTTGTAAAATCTGAGGCCATAGAGGCTTCAGATATCGATTTATCCAAGATTTATCATTTAAATTGCAATAATTATTGCAGGTTAACCTGCATGGCAATTGGCAACAAATGACAGCCAGTCAATAATTGTCAATTCCTGCAAAAGCTTCCCCTTATTCAGCAGCAGACACCTAAAGTGACAGACCAATTTGCCAACTGTTGGTTGACACGTGGTGCACCCAAGGCGATGAGCACCTGCACCTGTTTTTTGGGCCTTGCCTGCACCAATAGTGTGGTTATGGTCAAAGCTGTATATTAGGGTAATGGTGCACACCAAAGCCCCCAAAACAGTGCACTCTTTGCTGTACACTGAAATCTGAATTGAAGAGGCACCGCCGATGTCGATTGTCGTGGTGCATGTGCCAGGGAAAAGCTCTGTGGTGGTTGGGGTGGTTGGAGCGCCAAATGTGTCAATGAAAACTCTGGGGTTTACTGCAATTTTGGGCAGGGACAGCATCAGTGGGGCTGTCCCTCAATTGAAATTAAGTTACGATTTTTGGCCAGTTCTTGACCACCCCTCCTGGCTCCTGCTCCCCCGTTACACTATACCCATTCCCCAACCCCTTGTTACGCTCAGGTTTGGGTTACGCTAATGAAAACCGTAACGTGAAAAAAGGAAAAACTTTACTGTATAGTGTTCTCGTGTTTTTTATGAGATATACTCAAGGCCTCTAGGCCGATATACTGCTCAATTATTGAGCATTGATTTCCTCCGCCCTGCCTCCGCTAGGTATGTGTGTGCTACTTGCGGTCTGGGTTTGTTATGTCGCAGAAGCGTCAGTATTGCAGCCTAAGCAAAATTGATATTGGCCACTAATTCAAACTTTGCATTATTATTACGATTGTAATTACACTTCACAGTTATCCGGTACATAGGTACAGCTAATATGCACTAATCCTATATGTGTAAATAGGATATAACTTGACCGATCACGGACCAACACAGCAAAAGACATTTGAATGTTTATGCGCCATGTGAACATACTTACTGCGGCAGAATAGTAACGTTAAAAAACTTCCAGAACTCTATAAAATTTAAGCAAAAAATAGATTGCAAAAATTGCCATAAAAAAATGACCAAACTTTACCTGAATTAACCTAACCTACTGTTTTTCCCCATCGGGAACTTGGAAACAGTTGCACTAGGCAACTAAAGGTAAATCAAAGAGCAGCCAATGGTAAATCAAATATTTTTAGCCTTCTCCTGAAGCTGGATACACAGCCACTTAGCCTTAAATATATATTTGATTTCAGATTTACCATTGCTTCAAATGACTAATTTTTCCTAAAACAATGCCTACGGCACGGCAATGCCAAGGCTGGCAATGCATACTACGTCCCGAGTAAAAAGCAACACGTTGCTTTACGTTTTGTGCAGCAATTTAGTGCACCTTCATCTCTGATCGTGTAAATAATTGGCGCACGCAAGGCTATCTATGGCGCGCCGCATAAAGCCATTCGCGCTGTTGTTGTTGAAGAGTTAGGGCGGGAAGCCGTTCCAGTTCGCCTTGCTCTTTTAATTCTAAAGGTTGAGGTCGAGAAAGCCACGATGACTATAAATAGAGAAAGCTGTGCTGGTGGATGGGCGTGCCGCGTAAGTTCGTTTTTAGTTAGGAATTTCAGCAATATGACCCGAATCAGAGATTCCAGCACCTTGCATGCAGGGGTGTCGATTTTTCAAAATGGTTGGGGGTGCTCAACCCCTGCACCGGGTGAAAGATTGTAGCTTTGCCATGGGGCACAACCGTATCTACAAGGCATGGTTGTGTATCCCCATAAAGTACTGATAATCCCGGGATTTCCACTAATATTTCCCAAAGGTTGAACGTTCTTCAAAATCATTCTGCTCGTCCTAGTACTTGGCTACCTCATTACATAAACATCTTTCCGAAAAAAACGCGTACATTTGCCGGCAGCTCGGCAGCAGCCCCGGCACCTCTGTAATAAGGTGACAGAAACCGATGACCGCGATTAGCACCGGTGCAGCAGCCCCTGCGGTCGGCAGGGGCGGACATTGCGCGGGAGGCAACGGTATAGCTACGAGGCTCTGGCGTTTATCAGACGATCACAATAATCGCTGAAAAAAATAACAGGTGATTGCATTTCGATATTTATGGGTTTACGATTTTCCTCAGTGGCGTAGCCAGGTGGGCCCGTGAGCCCCCCCCCCCGCCCCATCAGGTTCAGGGGCCCATCGGATTATTCGGGCCTGAGGGGCACTGCGGCACCAATTGGCCACTGAGGGTCCACGTTGGCTATATTTGGACTCAGAAGGGCCCCACAGGGCTCGTAAGAACACCTCATGGGCCCACAAGTACTAACATTAACCCTCGCCCGTAAACGGCGATCTGCCACCTTCGCCCATGCAGGGGGGGGGGGTTGGTGCGACCCCCCCCTTGGCGTTTGAAAACGGAGCGTCGTAGAGCTTAGCGGAAAAGACCAACGGATTGCTCTCGCCGAGATCTCGCGATTGGTGGTATATTTTTTGGTCCTAGGTCAACATTTGACCTACTTTTGACCGGTCAAAGGTCAAATTTTCGGAAAAATAGACTTTTTTCAACTTTCCGCGGCGATTGCGGCAAAACGGTGGGAGATATCGACTTGAAACCTTCACTATCGTGTTCCTTGATCAATTCTCTATCGTTTGGTATGTATTTCGTTTCCCTAGCTCTAAAAATGGCGCGTTGGGAGCGCCGGAAGTCGGCAAGGTCACAGTCGGCGGCAGAAATTCGAAAAATCAAAATTTAAATTTTTGAAATCTGATTGTATTTTTGGATTTGGAAGGTCCATTTCCTCCCTATAGAAGCTAATATTGCTGCATATTCCCATTGAGGTGACAAGAATTAGCAAAATAGTGGTTCGGGCGCTTTTCAAAAATAGTACCGGACGCTGTTCCTCTTGTGACGTCATAGCTCCGTGACCTGACCTGACCCGGTCAAGTTTCTTATACCATATGATAGCCAATACTTGCCCCAACATGCATGGGAAGTTTCATCACGATCCATCAACCGATGTCCGTACCACCGGCAGGAAACCTCGGGCGTTGGCACTCAGTTTGTGAAAATCCGGCCGGAGGCTGTTCCCTTTGTGACGTCATAACTCCGTGACCTGACATGACCCGGTCAATTTTTTTTTATCAAAAGATGCGCAAGGTTTGCCCCATAAGGTACCCAAAATTTGGCGGCGCTGCGCGCCGCCGTTTTTGCACTATTTCTGAAAAACCTCAGGGGGGGGGGTTGCACCAACCCCCCCCTACATGGGCGAGGGTTAAGATCTCCATAAGGGCCCCAAACCAGCCTCTGAGGGCCACTTGCCGGCCTCTGGGGGTCTTAACCGGCCTCTAGGGGGCCAGCTCTAGGAGCTGCACACCCGCCTGTAATGTCCCCACACCCATTTCTCTGAGGGCCCCTATAACGGCGACTGTGAGGGCCCTCACCGGCGCCCCTGAGCGCCACACCGGCGTCTCTGAGGGCCCCACACCCCTAACTCTGAGGCCCTATACCAATGCCTTTAAAACCCCTACATGGGCGGTTCTGAGGGCCCTTGACAGTTACCAGCGACCCTGACGGCCCAACACAGGTGACACGGAGGGTCCCAGCGGCGTCTGAGCGCACCATGCCAGTCTCTGAGAACCCCACAAGGCTCCTGAAGGCACCGGTGACCTCTTGATATCTTCTTGTCGGCCTATGAAGGATCCGTTCCGTAACAGCAGTTCTGAGGGCCCAACGCGCGCCTGTGATGGCCCTAAACCAGTGTCTCTGATAGCCCCCACACCGGCGCCTCCAGTCCGAGGGCCCCACATTGCCATATCTGAGGGCCCCACACTAGTGCCTCTAAAGGCCCTATATCGGCGGCTCTGAGAGCCCAACATCGTAGCTTCTGAAGGCCCCACAAGTGCGCATGTGACGGCCACCCTGCCACCGGTGACATTTGAAGGCCCCACACCGGCGACTCTGAGGGCCCCATCAGCGCCTGAGCCCGTTCCGGTCTCTAAAGATGACCCCACAGGGTTTCTGAAGATACAGTCCACAGCAGAAGTAATGTGGGGTTTCAGTCATGGGTATGTTCTGCTTCTGAAGCTTAGGAACGATTAGCCAGACTACAATGAAACTTTGAATGTAGCTTATATGTATCGTCACCCTTGCAGCTGCAATTTTAGCTATTGACATCTTCTTTTCGATCACTCCGCATTAAACAATCGCCAGTCAAAGCCAATCGTTGAGATTGGTAAAACCCTACATTACTTTAGCGGTGGGCTGTACCACCGGCCTCTGATGACCCTTTGCCGGCCTCTGAGGGCCCGTCGCCGGTCTCTGGAGCCCCCTGCCGGCTTGTAAAGGGTACGCGCCAGCAGCTCTAAGGGTCCGACACCCGTGTACGACGGACCCACACCATCTTTGCAACTTAACGTCTTTTTTCGCCCTTCTTCTTAAATCTAACTTTTCTTTTCTTTACATCTTTATTTCATGCCTTGTAAATTGCGTAATTGTTTTATTTTTAGTAGTGAACTACTGCAGAACAATTATTTTCCTCAAGCAGAGTTAGTGGGAGTTATTGAGGGACAAAACCATTGGGGGTGCCCGGAAAACCATTGGGGGTGCTCATTTGAGCATTGGGGGTGCTGCAGCACCCCCAAAGGTATACAAATCGACACCCATGCTTGCATGGTATTGGTATAGCTGTAAAGTGTGAGGCTCACTGGGCGGTACCTAATTGGCATTGCACGGTTTCACCCAGGGGGGTACGCTCCGGCTGTTTAGCATTATGAAAAATGGTGACAGACGTTTGTGGAGGATTGTCGACGAACTCTTGTTCCGTGAGCAGTACTTACACGCTAGCGGAAAATTCACCAATCAGCGCTCGGCGGTACTCGACGCTGATTGGTCCGACGCTCGTGACGAAATTGCGGGGGACCGCAGTTATTCTCTATGGACCCGAATAGGCTTTTGGATTTCGGAGGGGTTTCTTTAAAATTATATGCTGTTTCGAGCTGTTTTCGAGTTGAAATATATTTCTTATGACTGTTACCTATATAATGGCACCATAAAATCATGATTTTGATAAATATTACCGATGAAATATCGGCCGAAAAGACATGCTGTCATGGTACGGACTGCCCTGCGGCTGATGTGGGGTCCCTAGTGCCAGCGTATGGTAATAATGGGTTGACGAAGGGTTATTGGAGACTCTTAGAGCCCCATCAGCATTCAGTATAGGGTCATCAGAGGCCGGGAACGTCCATCAGGGGCCTGAGTAGGCCTGTCATAGGGGCATACATGACACATCATGGCCCATGGGTCAATGTAGATCCATGGGGCCGTTGAAGGGCCATCATTGTTCAGCGTGGGCTCGCAATTACCTCTGATGGGCATATGCCGTGCCCCGATGGACTAACGCTGGCCCCTGATGAACCATCACCAGCCCCTGATAGGTCTACAAAGCCCACTGCTGGGTCTAAATTGGTCACTGATATGCCCAAATGGGCCACTGAGAAACCCGTACAACATCCCCTGACTGCACCTGCTGGACCAGTGCCGTCCTCTCATGGGCCCACCACAGCTCTTGAATGACCTTTTCAAGTCCCTTGAAGTGCCTTTATTGGCCTAAATGGCCCCTGATTGGCTTATGTGGTCCCTATCGGTCCTATATGGTCCCCATGAGCCCTCAACGTCCCTAGACGGCCTTACATTATATGTCACTGGGCCCTGTTGGGTCAGCACCGGCCCCTGATAGGCTTGCACTGGACCCACCGGGCCTATACCGACCCATGAAGGGCTTATGTCGAGCCCTCATGGGCCTTCGATGACCACACGCCGGCATGTGTGGCCCCATCATCAGCAGTGGTCCGTCTATCCCATGTACTTACGGTCTTTTTGGTCGATGTGACACCGGTAGTATATAGAAATGTTATGATTAAATGTCGTTATTACACAGTCAAAAGTCACAGAAAGAATATCCAAGCTCAAAAATGGCCTCAAACCCAACATAAACTGGTATAAATCCCCTTCAAAAGCCGTAAGTCTATTAAACGCCATAGGGAAATAGCTGCAGTCCCCCGCAATTTCGTCACGAGCATCGGGCCAATCAGCGTTGAGTATTGCCGAACGCTGATTGGTCGATTTCCGCTAGCCTGTAAATGCTGCTTGCGGATATAGTTTTGAACAAAAGAGGGTCGCGGCTACTAATTATCGCTTGTCACCACTTTTTCGTCGGGAGCGTTCTACCTGGTTTATATAGCCTTGGTTTCACCCAAGGCGATAAATACCTTCCACCGTTGGGCGTTGGTCCCACCACAACCACCATTCCTGATTCCACCTCGCTAATTGCTTCCCTTTTTGTAGATTTACTTCTTTTTTGTGACCAAGGAGAGAGTGAGATGCTAGTATATCCAGAGATGTTTTCTAATCGAACCAAACCAAACTTAACCAAACCTGACCTCATAGGCGGCGGAACGTGGAGGGCACTGGGGCACCGTGCCCCCTTTGATTTTGGCATTTTAACATAAGCCCTATGGGCGCTGCATGGAAAGAATGGGACCAAAAGTCGGCAGAGCCCCCCTCAATTGAAGGTGTTCCGCCGCTACTGCCTGACCTAACCGGTAGTCGTAAAGCAGGCTCCCTTTCTCAGTGGCTTGCTCCCGAGGAGCAAGCCACTCCTCGGGAGCACGCCACCGCTCCCTATCCCCGGAGAGGACCGAGAGGACGCCGTTTTGGTGCGCCAGATGGGGCGGGCACTGGGGCCGCTCATTCCAGTATGTGCACCAAATCGGCTGTCTCCACTCCGCGGCGTGCGAGCAGTGCCCAGCATTGCTGGAATTGGGAATTTTGGTCCTGGTCCCGGCCCCCGGGGAATGAAATCTGTCCGGAGAACTGGTCGGTTTTTAGAACACAACAGGAAATTCATATATTTGGCCTACTAAATGTGACAATTGATAAAATGTATTTTCTCAATGCTATTACTGCATGTTTTAGGCGTAGTAATATCAGTTTTTCATCACACAGGCCGGAAATTTAAGAGATTTCAGGTGCCGGAGTATAAATTTGTTAAAGAGCACAAAATCGTTTGAACCCGACTGGGACTGCCCAGACAAGTGGTGCCCACGGCGCGTGGGCGCCGTGTGCCGAAAAGAAGCTGATGTGCCGGAGCTCGTGCCGCTCCGCTGCCTGGCCCTCGCGGGCTTTCGCCAGCCTCGAACGCATCGCTGCGCCGATTTTTGTGGCCCCGGAATTTCGGGCTCCGGCCGTGTTTCACGGCACGACGCTGCAGTGCGCTAAGCGTATTGAGGCGTTAGGTGTCCGTGGAAATAAAAAAACTTGTTAGGACGCTCAAACATGGGAGAGCGTCCAAGGCCCCGGAACGCTTTGCCTGGTTGCTAAAGCCTTGATCGGTAGATATGCACTTGTGCTTTGTATAAAAGTGGCTTAATTTTGGCACAAATCTACCAATTTTCGGCTCAAATCATGCAGAAATAACAGCGCAAAATCGCTTTCGCCGAATTTCGGCGCAAGAGGGTCTCACGGGCGTTCGGCGTAGTGTATAAATGCTTTCTAGTCTGGGTTGTTGGTTAAAGTTTGTAGTTTTTAGGTTGTAGGTTGTAGGTCAGGTCAGGTTAGGTTAGGTTGGTTTTGGTTTGGTTTGGCTTGGTTATACATGGGTATAGCGCATCCTTGGTTGCATAAAGAAGTGCGACGCCTGCTTTACGACTATCGAACAGCTCTCAATCGCATATCTAATTGTTTAAGCCATGTTACCTACATATTCATGCGTGTTGTTCACTGTTCAGGCTGTTGCAAATTGAAATAGCAGTTCAATAGTGAATGGTCTCAATAAGTGTCAAGGATAGGGGGATATGTTTTAGGATTAAAGATGGATCAGGATGCAATGCAACATTAACAGATTCCTTTGATCTTTGTTAAAGATGATTGACTAGCAAGAAGCAACGCACTTTGAAGATTTGTCAGGCACAAGGCGAAGAATGGCCCAAGCACCTCTCAAGGCAGCCTACAGGAGAAGCTCAGGAAGAAGCTCTCCCATTCAGGAAGATGCTCCCCCTTTCCCAAGGGCTCGTAAGAATTCAAATGCCAGCATGGTCTCCGAGGGTTCACCCGCATCACTCCGCAGACAGAGGCAAAACATGCACAGCTTTGAGGGATCGTCCTCAAATTTAAGTCTGCCTTTGCTGTTTATCAAGGAGAAGCTTCAATGGACTGTGTTTTCAGCTGAATACAGAGAGCGACGCCACCTGGACTTTTTGAAAAGCTACAGGTCAGTAGTCCTTTTTTTGCTTTTGCCAGAGCTTAGTTAATAGTTTGTAAAAGGCATACCTTATTACTTCATTTCTCCAGTCTCATGGGAATTCTTGTGTAATATACCACAACATTTAAAATGAGAAGCTTTGTCCAGGGGTCCCTGTGTATCCCTCATAGTTTTTTTCTCGTATATTTCCTAGCTATGCTTCGCTAAAATGTGATGTATACCTTTTTCTTCATGATGTATGCCTCAATCTGAGCTTATTTTGTTCTGAACTCTATTTTTTTCAGGGACGTGCTGGTCATTGATGATGTTGAGAAAAATGCTATCAAAACATTCAAGGAAGTGATCAAACACTGCAAGAAAGAAATGGACGAAGATGTGTGGATTGGAATAAAAAGTAAGGACTTTTCTGTTATTATATTCAATTCACCCAACCTTCTTTTACCCTGCCATGTTGATAGCCACTTCAAAAGGCTTGTATCTTCCCAATACTAATCAAGTGCCAATACAATGTGATGTCTATGTGATCCATTGTCCTTTTAGTTGCTTGATTTCCCTGTGGTGTAATACGTCCCTGACGACACCTCTGTTGTCACCCACAGAGCACGCCGACACTGTCAGCCTGTTCGTGGAGCTGGCCGAGGGCACCCCGTTCGGTCACTACTGGTTCCTGGTCCGGTCGGTCAAATACCGGAGCTCAGACGGGCTGGAGATGCGCATCAGATGCCTCAGGTGCGATATGGGGGCCTCAGGTGGACGATTTTGGCGTGTGTATGGCACAGATGCAGTACAGTGCTTGGGCCAGGAACTGTTGTCATTATGTCTCTATACTTTTATTTGAACCATGTCATTTAACCGTCCTAAGCTCATGGAATGTGCTAATTCAACTATTTCACTTAACTTTCCTAAGTTCATGAAATGTGCATTCGTTGCATTGCAACCAGCCCTTTCCAATGATAGCACGATCTGACCCAATGACCTGTGATTTTAACACCATGATTCTGGAATCAGGATAGCCTGACCCATCTAGCCACGTGTAACAGAACCCCTCACAACCCACCGAAACCACCCCTCCTCTCAGGGAAGTGTGCTCCAGCGACGGACCCACCGCGGACCCGGCGGCACCCGGTGGCGGGCGGCCTCTCACAGAGTGGTCTCGCGATGATCTAGTGCGGTGGATGACCGCCAGAGTGACGGCTTTACCCTGGGGAGAGGCGGCTGCCTTCTGTCGACAGGTGGGTAGAGTATGAGGAGAGAGAGAGAGAGAGGGTGGGTGAGAGAAGCGGAAGGGGGAGATACAAGGTACTCCAATCGAATTCGACGTGGATTGGCTCAATTATTGTAGTTTTGACGAAGCGACGATTGGTTGTGCGTGTGGCGAATAAAGTTTTGCAACTATGACGCATCACGCAAATGGCAATTGTCGTTTGGGGTCATGTTGCATCGTTACTGTCAGAAATACACTTTCATCTCAGCCTATACCATATCATGACCGTAATGAAAATATTGACAAAAATAGCACCTATCGATGATCGTCGTTGGTTGTAGTTCCGAGCATACTTGTTGGTGTAATTCGCTCGTCCACTAGCGTTGGACATGCTGTGGTACCGGACGGTAATGTCCTGATTGTGCACAGCTGTGCGACAATTGTGGTTCAAGATAGTGGCCGGTTTTTACATGGCTTAGTCAGCTAACCGCTTTACTGATAGCTGTTGTGTAGACGGTGGTTCGAGGGGGTGGGTGAACAAATCATCACTGCTGGGTGTCGCCATGTAGCATGTTCGTCGGCTTATTGTGATGTAATATTCTAGACTCCATCGCGTTTATCTTTTATTTCCGAACGCTGCTGCTGACCTCTCTTTTCTGATTCCCTCAGGTGTCTCAGCATTTGTACGCTTTCGCGAGCATTTATTCGTTCGTTCGTTCGTTCATTCGTTCGTTCGTTCGTTCGTTCGTTCGTTCGTTCGCTTCACGCTTGTTTGTGTGTTTGCTCGTTTATCTATCGTTTTTTTCTTCGTTTGCTCGTTCGTATGCTCTTCCCTCGGTTTTGTTTGTCCACCCGTCCTGCCCCGCCCTCTCCGAATGCTAACCCCCCCCCCTCTCATCTCTCCCCGCAGATATTCAGCGTGGCCATGGTGCGCGAGGTCTTCCGCTTCATCACCGTGCTGCTTCTCCTGCTGGTCAACTGCTTCAAGGACGTCCATCTCTGGCTGCTGCGGGCCGTCGACACCGCAGGGGTGTTCGTCCAACGCTGCACGCCTCTGGCCACCGCCCTGCTGCAGTTCTGTCTGAAGATCGTAGGCGGTTTCTACATCCTCCTAGCTCGCGTATGGGTGGATATGCGTCATGGAAGCCCGCCGCCGCCGCCCCCTCCGCCAGGGATGCCGTCGGCTCAGCCACAGAGGGCGCTGATGTATCAGGGAGGTGCGCGAGGGACGCCAGGGAGTGGGCCCTACTGGCAGGGGTCCCCCGGGCCCGGTATGGGCCCAAGAGGGACGCCAGGTATGGGACCTGGTATGGGGCCGGGTATGGGGCCTGGTATGGGACGAGGTATGGGTCCGGGAATGGGACCTGGTATGGGTTATGGTGCTAGTCCCAGTATGAGCCCAGGTATGAGTCCTAGTATGAGTCCTAGTATGAGCCCCAGTATGGCCTCTGGTATGAGCTCCGATAGCCCGGCCAGGTCAGAGACTGAAACTTCAGACATGGGCTGAAACGGGTCTGATTAGGATGCTTTGACCTGCCACAAGAAGACAGCGTTCGGCCATGTTTTGTGCAATGCAGGATCATGTTTGTAAATAATGTTTGTAAAAGTGGTGTCACTGTAGGATATGGGAGGTGGGGGATGTCTTAACCGGCAATATTAACACCAAAGAGTAGGCCGGGTATCGTGGCTGACTTATTATCGTGTTTCTTGAGGATGTATTTAGAAGGCAACTGCCATTGCTGTTATGGGTAGTGATCGCCCGGATTCTGGGTTCTGGGTTGCCATGGTAACGCGATCAGAACGCGGCCAAATTTGTGGCATTAATTTATTTCAGAAACATGAGCAGTTGGTATTCTTATGTGTTTTGGCTATATAGCAAAGTCGCTTTACGAAGGAACTTACCTTAGTTTTTTTTCGGTTTCGTGTATCGTTAAGTTTTATTGAATGTTTATTTGCATGTAGTATAAATCACTAAGGAAGTAAGAAATATAATGATTGTGAGGGTTAGCCAAAGCGCTATGCCAAAATCAATTAAAGTTATTATTGCTTTTTGCATTGTTGTGTGTGCTATCATCGTGGAATTAACTTTTTTTGTTCGCGCTTTTACGTTTTTTGCTTTGTTGACGAAAAACTAAGTTTTTCGGCATTTAACTGTAAATACCTTAGTCGTGCGTATCATGGTACAGGTTAATTTAAGTATGCTCAGCTTTGAGTGGGTTATTTCTATGGTGTCACTACTGACTGGTTATCCCACATGCATTAATGCATGTTTACCCCGTTACAACTCATGGATCAATGTAGCCTTGTCACAGCCTATTCATGATATTACCTTCGGTGGAACCCCTTTGTAGCGGAGCCATATCTCTTAGAAAGGACCAGTCTTTCAAGCCTTATCCCGTACGTAAAAAACGCCCTCTCGTGTAAGCCCTAAGGTGTGCTAGTCTCTTATTAGGTCGGGCTTCCAGCAAGTGAAATGTTGGTATTGTTCGGCATGAAGTGACGTAAGAGATGACGTCATTGTCTGACATGTGACATTATGACTTCAAAAAGTGACTGGTGATGCTAAACGACGAAGTGTGTTTGAGCGTGAAAAATAGGACGTGGCATAACCTCTAGGAACCTATTGCTGATTGAACTATTAAGAAGCAGTGTCTGTAAGATTCTTGTAAGAAGGGTAGCATACCTGTGGTGTTTTTGGATGCCGGAAAACGTGTGTTGGATGTCAGGAATGTCGAAATGTGTGGTAGATGTCTAAATGTGTCGACTGTTGTGTTGGATGTCTGGAAATGTCGACTTGGGTGATTCTGAGGGATATCGGCTGTGTAAGCAAAGTCAGCGATAAATTAGAACAGTGCAAACGCACATTTACGGTGAACGTATTGGGAAAATTGTCCTACTGCATAGCTGAAGCTATGGTTTATGATCGATTATGTGGAGATGTCTATTGAAAGTGTAGATAATTTGCTTTATTGAGGTTATTTTCATGTATAAAATTAGGCAGTACTGTAAAATGCGTATTGATTTTGCTTGGAGATGGGAGATCGTTCTATTTACTAAAACTTTGGTATGATGTGTGCGACTAATGTACAGGTTTCTTTCTTCCGGTGTTTTAGTTTCGTTACTGGTCTTGCTAGTTAGTCGATATAACGTCATCAGTAGCGGTTCTCTATACTGGACAGTCTAGATTCGAAGACAACTTGAGTTTGCCGTAAGTTTCTTGTACTGTTTTTTTTTCTCGGTATGTTTGCTGTATGCGACTTATCGTTGGAAATAGTTTAGTTATGGCTACGTGCGACCTTGTGTGCCCTAACCGTAACATTTGCAGCCACTGCTTCCCTATATTTGTCACGTTTGTTATTGTGCAATTGTAGCATTTACTATGTGAAAATGTGCGACATTATTACAGATTTGTTTAATCGTAAGAGAAATGAGAATTCGCTGGCGAAGAAAAAGGTTTAAATATGTTGCAACTTGCACTCTAAGGGCTTTATGTTTGTGTATGCGCTGTGCTTTATTTACTCCCTATTGTGTGGTAAATTAAAATAAACTTCTGTTGGATTTGACAGGGTCACCGATGAAGTTGATTTTGAGTTTTACTTTGAGTTGAGTCGGAAATACACGCTTTATTTCACCCCACAAGTCGGAAGAAGTAGGTATTTGACGGTCAAATGAAGGAACTGTCAGCAAGCGACAAGTTAAAAAATCAGTGTAACAACGTACCTATAGACAACTTAATACCGCAAAGAAGCAGCCTCGCTTAAAAGCTACCTTGTTCCCATTTGAGCCTGTTAGGTGTAATCGCTAGAAACCATTAAAAATTTCTCATTTTCAGCCGGTACGAAAGCTGTGGTTAGTTCAACCCAAACATTGGTCATTGGTGTCTGGTGAGGCCGAGGGCATGGTGTGGCAAAATTTGTACTTTAGAGCACCACATAGCCATATCCACTATGCGGTTACGCTGCAGCCGTTATATTCATTATCTTGGCTTTTGTAAGCTTCAAGCAGCTACCAAAAATGGGATCGGTGCTTCGTATTTTGGTGATTGATGTGTATTTAATTCTTTCACCCTTTGGGTTTACTCACTGCTCGCTAGATGTCACAAGTAGTGAACGCCTGAAGAGATGCTGCGCCGCACGACAAAGGTGTTTTACTTCTTGCTCAATAGATGGCAGGGTTAAAAACGCCTGTAGGTATACTGTAGGGACAGCAACTGTAGGTAGGTATAGGTAGGTATACTGTTGTGAGGGAAGGGACAGCAACTGTCTTCAAAGAAGTAATGGGTCAAATTTCGTTTTTTTTTCGTGTCTAAATTTTAGTTTGATTTATCATTTTTTTTGACAATTCCATGAATACAAACGAACATAGTGATGGAACATTTGTTATTTTATTTTCCTTATCCCACCTAGATTGCTTATTTTCTTATATCAACTTGAACAGAATATCATTTAATATTTCTCTTAATGATCCTTACCCATGTTGATTTGAAGAAAAGGCGAAAAATCGCTTATCCCAAAATTATATAGTGATGGTGCGCCAACAACAATTGTTATTGTTGCGCGCAGTTTACGTCTCCATCTGGTGCGAAATAGTTGTGTTGCGTTGTGTTGCGTTGGATGTGTTGGAGTGGGGTCAGGGGTGCGTTTGTGTCTGTGCGGTCGGTGAACTATCGTGTGTGGCTTTGAATAAAATGTATAGGTTTGGAAGGAGGTAAGGAGTTTGTTTTTCATGTGTTCTATGCTCCAGCTGTTCTATTCAGCGGTTTAATTGCATTTGTGGACAATCCACTCCCAAGTCCCAATCATTGTTTAAGTGTAATGCCAATAACAGTTTATTTTCATGTTATCTCATTTTTATACCACATCACCTAGAAACCGTGTGATTTCATGCAAATTTCATGCCAGCCTGCCCGTCTGCTTGAGGGCATTTCACAATTTTGATTTCCATGTGGTTTCGGCTATCTGTCAGTCATTACCACGTCACCTACCTACCCACCTTTGTAAATCAAATTTTTGATGATGCAGCATGGTATGTTCAAGCCCAGCTCATGCTCATTGTGGTGTCTTGATCTAGGAAGGATGTCGTTCATCAGCATTGTTGCTGACAAATGGAATTGTTTATGTTGCAGATAATGAACAACACCACAACAACAGCTGCCCCCGCTGTTACGGCAGTGACTGCGGCTGCTGCCAATACCTCAGAGTTGCCTGATGGTAAGTCTTTCACCAATCAGCTCTGTGTAGCAATCATGTAGCATTGTAGCAAAATCATGTCACTTTTGTAAAATTCATTGATCTGGTTTTGTTGTCTGGCAAGTTTTTATTTTGCACAGAATTATAGTGCCGAACAAACTGCAGTGCTGTGTCTCACAGTGTCCCCTCTCTCTCCGCCCAGGCACCGTCACACCTCTCGTGCCGCTGCCCGGTGAGGAGGGCTACATCTTCCTGGAGACTGTCTCAGCGCAGGCCATCGCCGGCGCGTTCGTGTGGGCGGCCCTCCTCATCACAGTCCACCAGATCTACCAGCACCTGCGGTTCTACACCAACCCGGCGGAGCAGCGGTGGATAGTGCGGATCCTGTTCATCGTGCCCATCTATGCCTTCGACTCGTGGCTCAGTCTGCTGTTCTTCAATAAGAATAATTACTATATCTACTTCAACACAGTGCGGGACTGCTATGAAGGTAAGGAGGGAATGGAGATGGGAACGGGTGAGGTGGTGGGCCCTGGTTGGATGCATTTTGCCCTTACTGGGTGTGTCATGAGGCATTATCCTTCAAGTTTTGTTTTATCGAGGCTCATTTTATAATTTTTATCAAATTAAGCGTTCTTTAACATTTGACTTTTTATATTCCCCTCGAAGAACGGCTAGGTTTCTTGACGTTTTTTTTTTTACACTGGGCGTTGTACTGATGCAACTTGGTTGCATTTCACTCAGTGGAGTTCAGTAACTTCGTGAAATTGGTGACCTCATAACATTTTCTGCCATTTTGGTCTTCATTCAATTTAATGCCCCGTGGACTGGCATTCAGTAGAGAATAGTTGCGAACTTCAACCTTCGGTAACTGCGGGTGAAATGAAGCCAGATTCGATATTGTGATTTGTAGGCTCTAATAATTGCTCGAAAGCCGTGAAAATATAGCGCTACTGATGCCTACACCCTTCATTCAAATTAAATTGACAGCCTATTAAGCTTTCCCGAATACCCATTTAGCGAGTGTAAACCCACTGTAGTTGAGTCAGGCAGTGTTCCATTTCTGCCTCATCAGCTCTGGGTCAGGCAGGCGGGTGGCCCTGATCAGATTGACAAAAACCAGACCTCTGCTGTGGAATTCTGTTAGTGACGCGGCCTGGCACGCGTCAAATAGAGGCGGGTGTGTATCGGGCCGCTGATGCTAGTCATGTGATGTTTTGAAGGTACGGACTTACTGAGGGAATATGAGAGGTAACTACTGGACTGGAAGTTATTGGTGGATGAACCAGTGAGAGAATATTGGGGAGCGTCAGGTATTGGGGGTGGGAATGGAAAGGGGAATGAAGGAATGAGAATGAAGCAATTGGAATTGGAATGCAATTGCAATTGGAATGAAGTACGGTTATGATGCTGTCGGTAGGTGGATAAGCTGTTACGATTTAAACGTCTTGTGAAAGCTAGGTACCCGATGTAGGCATTTTCGCGAGGTGTTGCGTTAACCCGCGAGTTGCTGGGGGGGGGGGGCGTTAAACGCCCCCACTTTTTTCGCCGGGCCATAGCATAAAAACGGCGCGCCGCAGGCGCGCCAAATTTTGGGTACCTGTAGGGAATTGATTGAAGGTTATTGTGACAAAGTTTCAAAAAAATCGGTCGGAAAATTTTTGAGATATCGAGGTTTTAGTGACGTCATGATTTCTGAGTTTTCGACCAAAAACGGCATATGTTCAAAAAATCATATAAAATCACAGAATAGACATACAGACATGCCGTAAACGCCATTAGACTGCCAATACCATGAACAATCAAATGGCAATCTTCGATTTTTGATTATCGTTCCGCATTTTCCAAAATCTGGAACTGAATCTTGGCAATTTCTCGTGACTTCTTCACGACCATGATACATGCATTTCTTAAATTGAACTTTTTGAGCCAAACACGTACACATATGATAAAATGAATGTCACCAACGTGTTCTACGCCCCAAATTACCCATAAAACATGTGTCACAGGCTGCGAATATCAGTTTCGATTTTCGGGGATATGTGCTTACCCGGTTGACCTGACCTTGACCCTGACCTATGCTTGACTGACCCCTACATGGAGCTGACACTCTTGTAGGTCTTATATGATGGATTGTGCACCGTTTTGACAGAGTTTATGACAAGAGGCGCCCATTGCGAAGTCCTGAAGTCCATGCTACTGAAAGCCCGATTTCAGGTGTTTGACCTGACCTTGACCTGACCTGTGATCTCAAAATTCAATTTTAAAGTACTCATCTGAAGCGTCTCGTCGCGTTCTTTCGTTTGCCGCCTCGTGCGTTTCGCTGCGCCTATCGGTTCTCGAGTTATCGGCTGGGGGCGTTTAACGCCCCCCCCCCCCCAGCAAACGGTGGGTGGCGGAATACCCCAGCAACTGCCGGGTTAAGCACTCTCCGATCGTCGTCGAAACCCCCGAGTTCTCGTGCAGCGCAATCTAAATACAGCGTCCTAACTAATTTTCAAAATTAAAGGCAAATTGTTCGTGACAAATTAATTTCCGCGTCACTTCAGAGCTCTTCCGCCGGCATGTTGAAGTCAAGCCGCTTCATCTCACTAGCAATTAAACCGCACGTGTACTCGGCTCGAGTAAGGCAGCTTAGAGTTTAATTAGCTACAATGGAAATTACGACAGGCATGCTACCGTTTTGGTCCCGGCTCAGGGGGGGGGGGGGGGGGAGCTTCATGTCGCGTGTTTCCGGTGAAAGTCAGTGACCGTGACAATGCCTTTTCGTGACCCGTCACGTCACGTGACCTTGAGCGTTGCTGTGCGACCGTAGGTACTTTTAGCTCTTAAAGGTAGATATGAAGGCTGGGAGACTGATGTAGTCGTCAGAGGATAAAATTTGCGGGGTTAGGGGAGCCTGTATGCACTTTACAGACGCAGACGAACCAGTCGGCAGGGAAGACAGAGAAGTGTGCCGTTGCTGGTGTTGACTGCCGTATTGGCTGGTGGCCGACGGCATTGAGGGGGAGGGGGGGGGGGGCGGCTGGACCCTCAAATCGATACGGCGGCGGTCGGCGCTAGTCAGCTGTTACTCTTTCCACCGGCTCCTTCTTTCTGTCCTTAGCTGCGGTATGGTTCTCTTACCATTTTAATCTCTTTTTACATGCAACACTCTAAGAAGTCAGCTTTCGTTTTTATTCACTTTTGTATGGAGCATTCAGCTCTCTTTTGCTTTCTTCCATTCTTCCTGTATCCATCGACTCCGTGCCTTTCGCGACCCATGATGGCATTCACTCAACTTCATGTCTCCTTACCACACCATGCAAGCTTTCCCGCCGCCGCCGCCGCTGCCGCCGCCACCCCGGCTAACGTGTGAGCCGGTGACTTGGAGCGTTGGCCCGCGGTATCGTTGTGTTGGGTGCCACGCTGCGGTCTGTATCAACTTCCTGTTGGTTCACCGGCTGCGGCGGCGGCGGCTGAGGTCTTTGTTGTGCGAACTGCGAAGTGGGGCACCGGAGTGGGAGGGTAGGGCGTAGGTGGTAGAATTGCGTCTGAAATTTCATGGCTAGAGATAGAGCCAAGTATGCTTTTTTAGCTTCGTGACCAACATCCTTTTACTCATATGGCCGATTTTGTCCGAAAATTCTGAACATTTATGCATCGATATTATTTGTGCAGTATTTATTCTAAGTTACTGTTTGTCTAGCTTGTCCAGCGACGCTATGGAAAGAACTATTACCTACTCTGAAAATTTGCAGTAAGCTCACGGACCACTCCAAAGCAGCGACCTTTTCTGGCTTTTATTCGATTATCGCCACTCGTCTCTGTGATAGCGACGTGGCTCTCTCGGTCACCAGTCGCTATGGCGGAAACTGCGCCAATCATGGTCTGATTGACCTTCGACCTCTAGTTATCGTCCGGTCAGTGACGTCACAACCTTGTGACATCTGGTCCTTTTCGCCGCACCGCGCCGGCGTGGCTTGGCATAATGAAAAAAGGTAGGAGAAGCCTGTCATGGGCCGCGGGGCCGCGCGTTCTCCGGGGAAATCTGCCGCAGATGCTGGCTGCGACTGAGCTGGATAGATCGGGGGCTATTTTTGCACGTGCCGAGTGCACGCGCACGGTGCTGGCATGGTGCCAAAAACAAGCGGGCGTTACGGAAATGTGTGGCGAAGGGAAAACTGGCGTTATATTGCAGCTATGCAGCTTATCAAAGGTGTATAGGGTTTAGAGTAAGGAAGGTTCTTGGTCGCCTGTTCCTCCTGGCTTACTTTCTATGTCTGCGCCATTGGCCATTCTGCGCAGTGGGCTATAACTGATATCAGGCTCTGTGCCATTTTACCTATCACGAGAACGGGCGCAGGGTGTGAGCCTAACCCGCGCCACACGGCGTGGATAACCATGGCTACGAGCGCTGCACAGCTCGTGGAGTCGCCTCCAGGGGGCTACCGTGGGAAAAACCTTGGACGGTTCACCGCCCCGCGCCGTGATGTGACGTGCCATGCCGTGAGGTGTCGTGATTTGTCGTGGTTACCGTGAATGGCCGTGAGTTGATGATCTTGGTTTCATGATCCGTGACTCGAAGGCGTCGTGAATGGCAAGCGATGCATCCTCTTCACATAACGCCTTACTTTGCATGACGACTTTGCTGGCTCCGATTTGCCGTGACTCATTTCTCTCCAAGTTGTAGAACTCGGTGTTCTCCTGAGCCCTGCGGCATTGGTATGGCCCAGCGTCGCTTTGTGTCTCCTACAGGAATAGTGTCCGGGCCGTGTGATGCAATATTCACGGTGCCGAGAGTATTTTCCTCGTTCGCCGGGAGCTCGGAGGAATGCTGCGGTCAAACTGGTTTGGTTCGCCGAGTCTGGGGCGGAATGACCGGCTGCTGCGTTGGCGTTTGGAGACCGACAGCGCTGCACGCTGGACATAACCGGACTGGGGAAATTCCCGAACCCTGCTGGATGTTTAGTTTGGTGGTGCTGGATGGGTCGCACTTTATGTTCATAGCGAGGCCTTTTCACTGTTTGTGCACAGGATTGCTGTCAGATACGTTTGCCATATAATGACGATTTTTCTATTCATCTTGTTATATTCCTCTAATAAACAGAGATGGGCGTTCCATTCACATGTCTTTGTTCCTTCTCAAGATCTGCTAGGCTGGGTTTTCTATTTTCTTTTTTATTGCACCTGTTTTTTTATTTTCTTTGTTCACGCAATTACCTGATGGCTGCATTTCCTTTCCATCAATCTATTTCCTCTTCTTTACCTCTCCGTTACCTCCCTTACTCCCTCCCACCTCTCACATCCTCGCACCACCTTGACTGACCGTCTGTGCCGGTCCCCCGGGGGTCCATTCCAGTGAGCTCCCAGCTCCGTCTGGCTAGACCATCAGCTTCCCTCCCCCTACCCCCACCTCCCACGGGACTGGGACGCGCCCCCCCCCCCCCTCTGGGACCGTCGTGGCCGGCGGGGCGATCGACCGTCCCCGACGGCCGCGGCGTCTCTGTA